GGCGTCATAAACCTGGTACGCAAAGTTGGGGCTGGCGAGCATGTCGTAGTCCATAAACAGCCGGATCTTCTTGTTCTCGGCTGGCGGCAGCACGTCGACGTAGTAGTCGGATCCCAGCAGACCCTCCTCTTCGCCGGCCCACCATGCGAAGCGTACGCAGTTGTTGACGCTGAAGTTGGTCAGCTGCGTGGCGATCTCGAGCAGCGCGAGGCTTCCGGATCCGTCATCGTTGATACCCGGACCTTCGGCGACCGAGTCGCTATGACCGCCGAGCATGACACAGTTGTCCGGGTCGCCCTCGGTCGTCTGGGCGATGATGTTGGTCGTCATGATGCTGTCGACTACGGCGTCGATGTAGGCCGTGGCCTCGACCTTCTTGCTGTGCTTGAGCTTGGCGATGTAAGGGGCTGCCTCGGCGCCTGATAGACCAAAAGTGGCGACGTGGTGGGGCGAGGGCGTCCCGAGGGTGCCGGTTACCGGAGTGTCTTCGTAGTTGTAGACGATGGCAGCCACGGCGCCCGCCTTGCCGGCGAGCTCGGATTTGGTGCCGAAGGGGCAGGTGCCGCGTCGGATGAAGGCGATGTTCCCGTCCACGGACGAGGGGTAGTCAGACTTGTGACATCCATCATTGGCGACCAGGACGAGCTGTCCATCGACGGGCTGCTTCTTGGGGGTCGGCGGGGTCAGGCTCATGGGGTACGCCGACTCGGCGAGGTCGAGATCCAGAAGGAGACGGGCTTCAAAGATATTTCCGGATACGGCGGGAAAGGGCTGCTCGGAGAGGGTGTAGTAATCGCCGAGCTGCTGCAGCGTCTTGTAGATGTACTTGAGCGTACCGAGGTGGCCTTTGCTGCCGATAACGCGTGTCGGGTGGTTGTACTCGTCTTCGCTCAGCTTGGCGATCTTGTACAGGCGCTTTGCGCGGGCCAGCAGCTTGGAGGAGCTGATGGTGTCCTGAAGGGCATCCGAGCTGACCAACGGCTTCTTGTCGCCGCTGATTGGCGCCTGACCTGTTTCCTCGGCGAAAAGTGGTTTTTGGTCGTGTTGGAGGCCCGCGACGGCCCCCAGGGTCGTCAGCCCTATAAGTGCAAGCTTTGTTAATCCCATCGTGATGTCTCTGCTTGCGGAGAATTGAAGTGAGAGAAGAGGATGAAGTCGACTTGAGGTCGCGTGAAACACTGACTCAGGTTGCCCAGTGACAGCACGCCATCCCGAAAGGGAATGGTCCAACCAGTGCCCTGTCTCACGATCGCTTAGCTTGCGATAAGCTCCGGACACGGAGCCGCGATAAGATAAGCTTGTGCGATAAGACCGGAGGCCACCAGTGGGGCGCAGACCGGCCGCAAGATTGTCCTCCTGTGTCTCCACCTTCCACCTCCGAACATCAACCCATTCTCGGGACCGGCTCAGCCTCGACACAAGTTCGCTGCATATCATGCGTATCACTGCGATTCTGCCTTTCGCGATTTCTTCGTCTCGGTGAGCAACGTAATGCTCGGAGGATCTCGCACCTCGCACTTTGGGCGGCCACCGGCCTGTTTCGCAGGCGACTGTCACGCGGTCACGCACTGACCACACCGTCAGCATCCACCTCACGAACGAGCTGGGTGGCACAGGCAATATCGCTCTTCAGAGGAAATATGCGTTGCATAGAAAGTAATACGCTGAATAGAGACAGTACGCCGGCTTGGAATGAAAAGTAATGGACACGTTCTTCACACGCGTGACGCACAGCGCCTCGGGTTCAGAACTTGTCTTGATCGAGGAGTGACAATGACAATGGCCTCGGATTCAAGATTGACGACTCAAGGAATCTCTTTCATCTCATCTGAAAAGCAAAAAAGATCCAAATTTTAGGGTATCAACCGGGTATCTAATGTCCAACTCCATGAACGCCTCCCAGGTGGTCTACCGTCACCAGTCGCCTGTGTCTTCCGAGTCTTCCACCGTCGCCTTCCTCCACTTCCGCTTGTTCTCGGCCGACTTGTCGCCCGGCTTCTCAGCGACCAAAGCCTCGTACTTGGTCCTCCACTCGTCCCTCTCCTTGGACACTCTCCTAATCCTTTCCTCCCTATCATGCTTCAGACACTTTGTTAGATCATCATCCTCTTCGTCCGCCCCTGGGCTGAGGCTCAGTCTTGCCCTCTGACACCCATCCACCACACAAGCATGACTCGCCTTGCAGTACCCCCTCAGCCCAGCCTCCCTCCCACACCCCTCAACACGACACCTCCCCGCCCTTGTCCCATGCGTCTCACACCTCCTGCTCTCGCCAGCGACAACCTTGCTGCACCCCTGCACCTCACAGGTATGCCGCTCACAACCCCCGCCCGGATACCGCCGACTATACAGACACCCATCGACGCGACACGCGTGCGCCCTGCAGAAGAGAGACCTCTCGTCGTCAGGCCGGGCGATGCACTCAAAGCACGCGTCAAAAGTGCACTTGTGCACATCGCACAGCGTGCCGCCGCCCGCGTGCCTCTCGCCGGCGCAGTCGGGCAGTCGACACCCGTGGTCGAGACAGTACCGCCGGTGGGCGTGGAGCTTGCGGCCGCCGCACCCGGGCCGCGCGCACTTGAGCGCGAGGTGCTCGGTGCAGAGGGACTCGATTCGGATTCGTCGTCCGTTGTCGACGACGTGGCATGGTCGCGTGCACGACGAGACCTCGCAGATGGTGTGCTCGGCGCAGCGGTTGTTGGCCACGGCCTGGAGCGAACATGTCCCGCGCGCTTGGGTGCACGTGTGCGGCTTGCAGAAGTTGCTGTTCTGGGCCCGGTCGGGCGGGGAGGTGCACTGCAGCGCGGCGCATTCTTGGTGCGTTTCGCAGCGGCGGTTGAGGAGGTCGGCGGTGCCGGAGAGGCAGTTTGGCTTGGTGCAGCGGTCTGGAAGAGGATTTGTTAGTTTTGTGTCGGTTATGGTTGTCCAAGACAAGGGGGGAAGACATACGTTGAGAGCAATACCACGGGAATGTGCCGTCCGGGTAGAAGCCGACCTCGCGACAGTTGTCTGCGCCGCAGGTCATATCTGTGATGGGAGTTAGCGGGGGGCCGGGTTGGAATATATCGACCGAGTAAACTCACGGTTGTGGCAGTATTCATCGGCTTCCTCCTTCGGCATGGGGCAGTGGTAGCCATCCTCGACGGGCACCGTCCTGGAGCAGGTATCTACTTCGATGTCAACATTGGGGCTCACATCTAAGCTCATCAGAGTTTGGAAACTCACGATCGTAGCAGTACTTTGAATAAATCTTATCGTCGCCGAACCGAGCGTGGCACTGTTTCGCGCGGCAGCCCGATACCAGGCACTGTCTGCCGATGCTGCTCGAGACAGCCGTTGGGGCGGACGAGGTGTTGGATCGGGTCGGCTGGCGAGATAGGCGCATGTGGTTGGTGGTCGACATATAAGTCCAACGAACAAGTGGGGCCAAGTGTTGTTAGTGTCGAGGAGAGATGTGATGGCGTGCAGGAGACTTGTTGGTTCAACTGCAAGCTGCAAGTGATGAAAAAGTGCAGATCGGTAACCAAGCGAATCGGAGTTGTCTTGGATCTTTTCGATTCGCGGGCTCGTCAGGGGGGAAGAAGCGCAGCCTTATAAATGTGCACTTTCTCTGTCGCTGATGGCGTTTGAGAGGGTTGGCTTCTAGAAATTCGGGAGGCAGCCGTGGCTCGGTCAGTGGCCGTCGCCCCGGGTCGTGGCCTGCAAGGCTCCCTTTGGCGCTTATTGCAACGGCGCCGGGGTCGTTGGAGGGTGCCTAGCAGTTGCACTAACATTTAAAAATGCACTGCACGACATCGCTAGACGGACCGCCCCTGGCGCGCATGACGGGCCGCCGGAGGTCAAGTCGTGGCGCAGCGCAGCATCCTCCAGCGACACACCGAGCTTTTCGCGCCACCTCCTGCTGCATTAGTATCGCCGTTCATCATCATCAGTAAAATCCGCGTTGAACGTGTAATCCGCCGAGGGATTTTGATCATTTAGGACTCACCAAACACGCGTGCAGGACTCATCAGCCTGTTACGTGCAACCATGTTACGTCCGACTAGTCCGTAGTTACCTAGGAGTACATACGTTGCACAGAGAAGACAAATCGCAAGGCATTCCGGACGTGTCGGACAGCCAGACACGGTGGAACGGCAAAACACAAGCAACGGCAAGAGTGCAGTGTACTGAACCTGCTAATTTTCGTGCTCGGGCACACTCGCTGTTCCGAAAGTGAGAGCTGGGAAATGAGGTTCAGCCGCAGCAGCCCACCTTTTCCGGTTCAGACTGGACGGATTGGACTGGATGAGTGCGCGTGTGGTGTACGGACCTTGTGCGCGGTCAACGAGGCTGCGGCCGTCCAAGACCAAAAAGTAAGTCCCTTCCCACCATCTTTTTGCCGTCCAGGTCCCTTCCGTCCTCATTCAGGACGTGGTGCTGCCACGCGGTCCTGATTCTCTCGCCCCCACACCACACCACTCCCTTCAGACTGTTGATTTCGAGCATCCCCCTTTTCGCGACCCAGCCACCGCCTCGCTCGTAAGATGCTGGGTTGATTACGACGTGATCACCCCTTTTTGCATTTTGCGACGGATTGGGAAATCCTCAATCTGATGGATGTTCTTGTTTCGGAACGCAGGTTCCGTCTTCGTGTCGGTCAACCCGCCAAGGAGTTGTTGGGCTCTCAGGCTCGGTGTGATACCCGGGCATCCCGATGCATTGATTCTCTCGAAATCGGATACATACCGGGATAACATGTCTCTGGAACAAATGCCTTGTAGGTGATACACTGAAGGGCCTAGGTAGGTACCTTCATCAAAACAGATCCGCCATTTCCGAGAAGGTCTAACTGGCTATGCAAGCGCTACTCCCGCTGGCCCATATAGCCATATAGTCTGTCTGCCGTTAGAGTCTGTTTACCAACTCCGTCATCTGAGGACTTATCACCAGGAAAGCATTGCCTAGCAAAAAGAGGAATACGTGACAGCTCGACTCGGCAAAAAGCAAGCGCTGCATGTTGATTCAACCCAGGATCGAACTGGGAACCTTCAGTGTGACAACTCTGTTCGGAGATGTGAGACTGACGTGATAACCATTACACCATTGAACCGTGCAATTTGAAGCCGGAATAGCCTCTCTTGAACCAGACGCAGCATTGCAGTGTCGTCTGACATCTCGTTCTATCCCAGAGTGGGCACAATCTTGTTAGACCGCTACGGAAGTACCCGTAGCTCCAATTGTCAACGAAAATACCAAACAACAAACTGCAAAGCAACTCTGCTCTCGTCAGCAGTAGGCCAGCCTGCAACTCTGGTTGGGCCGCTACATATCCAGACGGTATGTAATCCAGATGACTAATGCGCCGCAAGACAAGTCCCCGAACTCCGGATTGCGCGATGCACCCCGCCCGCCGCCCAGAGTTGATAGGAGGACCGGAACAACAACAAGAGCGCTTTGTTCTCAGATATTTAACCTACCTACCGAGATAACATCGCCGCCGCGCATTATCAAGATCACACCCCATTTCCAACTCACCACCCTAGATAAATCCCCCAAAAATAAAAAAATGCCATCCAACAAACCAATCCTAATCTCCGGCGCCGGCCTCGCCTCCCTCCTCCTAGCCCAATCCCTCCGCCAATCCTCCATCCCCTTCCTCCTCTTCGAGCGCGACACCTCCTTCACCTTCCGCGCACAGGGCTACCGCCTCCGCCTCTCCACCGAAGGCCTCGACGCGATCGAGTCCGTCCTCCCCCCCGACCTATGGACCCGCTTCTGGGCCGCCTGCGGCAAGACCGGCGGGGCAGGCTTCACGGCCTTCGACGCAATATCCGGCTCGACGACGGAGCACGTAGTCCCCGAGTCCCTTTCCTCGCGCGGCGGCAAGATCGTCGGCATCGCGCGCGGCGACATGCGTCGCCTCTTCGCCGACGGGCTCGAGGACGCTATCGAATGGGGCAGGCACGTCACGGGCTACGAACTGACGAGCAGCGGCGTGCGCGCCCTCTTCGCCGACGGGACCAAATCCGTCGAGGGAGCCATGCTCGTCGGCGGCGAGGGCATCTACTCCAAGGTAGCGCGGCAGGTGTCGAACGGCGCGCTGAAGGTGTACGACACGGGCGCACGGGGGATCCACGGGCAGGCGCCGAGCACGGCCTTCCGGGGTCTGGGCGAGGGCGTGTTCCGGGTGCGCGACGGCTCGCGGCCCGAGGGGTCCGTCTTCATTATTACGAATGTGAGGCCGGGCGATATGGACGACCCGGATGTCCAGTTCGGCTGGACCATGGGCGGCCAGCCGGGCGTCATCAAGGCGCCCAACGACGACTACTCCATCGTCGGGAAGAAGGCGGCCGACATCGCCAAGGCGCTGACCAAGGACTGGCATCCCCGCTTCAGGCCGCTGTTCGAGCAGATGGACGAGGCCGAGGCCGCTTTCTGGAAGATCACCTGTTCGACGCCGTCGGGTGTGCCCGAGTGGCCCAACGAGCCCAGGGTGACCGTCATTGGTGATGCCGTCCATTCCATGACGCCCGCCGGTGGTATCGGTGCCAACACGGCTGTGAGGGATTCAGCGTTACTAGGGAGACTTCTGAGAGAGGCGGGCGGATATGCACCCGGCGTGACGGCAGAGTATGAGAAACAAATGCGCGTGTACGCAAGTCAGGCGGTACACATCAGCTACACGACTGCCACTGGACAGTTCGGCGTACTGATCGACGAAAAGACTAGTCCTACCGTGTAATACGCTGGGCACCGAAGTCATTATGTCCAGAAGGGCTCGAGGTTAACATGGCCAGAAGCATAGGGTAATTCGGGTAGTGTTTTATTAGAGTGTTTTTAATTCTGTTGCCATTTAGGTACACTATCATCAACTCCAAAGCCCCCCCCAAGCATAACCTTACACATCCTTAATACGCCACCTGGCTGTTTAGTCCAGCCAACTCCCGTTCGTAGTTCCTGTGCATGGCAATCGCATAAAACAGCTTCTCGAGGAAGCCCGAGGTACCCTTGGCGATCTGCACCGCCTCGGTGAAGCTTTCAGGCTTGATCTGCCGCAGCGTCACAACTCCGTAGCTCTCGCTCACATCGCCCGACGACGATACGGTGACATCGGGCAGCGCAATAGCCTTGTTGACGAGGTCGACGGCCTCGCCCGTGGCGCCGATGGCCTTGAGATGTCCGAACGCCTCGCGGATCCAGTGCAGGGCCCGCCCGCTCTTGGACAGCGTCGCGATTGACTGCTCGCCACCGGGGATGAAAAGGGCATCGACCATGACGGACCGGAACCCCTCGAGATGGTGGTGCGGCTGAACCGAGTGGGACCCTCCTGCTGCTGTGACCTTGCTGCGCCGGGTGCCGATGACGAGCGGGATGGCCAGCGCGGCCGAAATGGCACCGTACGCGGCGGCATAAGCCACCGGATCGTAACCATCGGCGACAATGATAGCAATGCGCCGTGACGCAATGCTGAGCTTGGCCGGCGGGAAGTCCAGCTGGCTGAGCCCGTGAGCCCTCTTGCTGTGGTTGGGACGGCCAGCCTTCTCAGGCTTCTCGCCGCCCACCATCTCGCAGACCGTCTGCGCCAGACCCAAATCGATATCAGCTAGGCGCTGCACCATGCGACCGTAGACAACAGGATCCTCGCAGTGGTCCAGCTCGAACGACAAGGCGTCGATGATGTGCTTTTTCTCGTGGGGCGCCATGCTGTTCCAAAACAGCTGGGCCTGGTTGAAGTGCTCCTTGAACTTTGCGCTGCGGGCACGCGCCTTCATGCCCACAATCTTCTCCGCGTACTCGAGGTAGCCGCCTTCCTCGTGCGTCGCCGGAGGGCAAGCCTCAAACCTGTTTGGCCAATAGTTGACCGTGCCCTTGGTGATGGTATGGCGCATCGCGCCGTCGCGGTTGAAGTTCATCACGGGGCATACAGGACGGTTAATGGGGAGCTCCTGCCAGTTGACACCGAGACGCGAGATCTGTGTGTCGAAGTAGCTGAAGTTACGGCCCTGGAGAAGAGGGTCGTTGGAGAAACCGATGCCGGGGACAACGTGGCTGGTGCAAAACGCGATCTGCTCGACCTGCGTGAAGAACTCGTCGGGGTTTCGGTTGAGTTCCAGCTCACCGATGTACCGGGTGGGGACGAGTTCTTCGGGCCACACCTTGGTAGCGTCGAGGATGTCGAAATCGAACTTGTGCTCGTCGGCCTCGGGGATCGTCTGAATGCCGAACTTCCACTTGGGGTAAACGCCGTTCTCAATAGCCTCCCACAGGTCCTTGCGGTGGAAGTCGGGGTCCTCGCCAGCGAGTTTGAGAGCCTCGTCCCAGACGAGCGAGTTGACGCCCAGCTCGGGTGTCCACAGGAACTTGACAAAGTGGCGCTCACCCTTGGCGTTGATCAGAGTAAATGTGTTGACGCCGAAACCCTGCATCATACGGTATGACCGTGGAATGCCACGGTCACTCATCTGGTCTTGTTAGTCCCATATCAAATTTGGAGCGCTTCAAAGACTTACCGCCCACATAAACATGTGCGTGGCCTCGGTGTGGTTGTACTGGAAGTCCCAGAAGTTGTTGTGGGCGCTCTGGGCTTGTGGCACCTCGTTGTGCGGCTCGGGCTTGCCGGCGCTGAAATGAAGATGTTAATCCTCATATCCGCCAAATATGGCCAAGAACCTACTGGATCACATCTGGAAACTTGATGGCATCCTGGATGAAGAAGACGGGAATGTTGTTGCCCACGATATCCCAGTTACCCTCTTGGGTGTAAAGCTTGACGGCGAATCCACGGACATCGCGGACCGTGTCGGCGCTGCCTCGGCTGCCCAGCACCGTCGAGAAACGAACAAAGATGGGCGTTTCCCGAGAGGTGTCGGTCAGAACCTTGGCGCATGTCACGTCCTCGGCGCTCTCGAAAAGACGGAAAGTTCCAAAGGCACCACTTCCGCGCGCATGGACAACGCGCTCAGGAATCCTCTCGTGATCGAACCGGTGAATCTTTTGAACGTCAGCAGGCGCGAAACGATGATTGAACGGGCATACACACCCGCTCTCGCGCGAATGGGTCCTCCAGGAGCGCGGGGCCGATCTGTTTGTCGCTGACGACGCGCAGCCAGTCATCAGCCGTCGTCTGCTTCACGCCGTAGTCTGTGGTCAGACGGCCATTTCCGGGACCGAAATCCTTGGTCTCCTGGGCGAGATCCGAGATCTTGTCGCGCTTGTGGCCCATGATGGCGTGCGTAGCCTTTTCCATTGCTGCGGGGATGATTCCTTTTTCTGGGACAAATCCGGCCATGTAGGAGTTCCTGACGAAAGGAGCTGTGAAGGCGAGGAGGTCGGAACGGGTTTCAATGGCAAAGGGTCAAACAGTTATACGGTGGCACGAGGAAGAACGCGTCGAAATCCATGACGTCAAGGAGTTTGTCGATGCAGCGGCGGGGAGAAGGAGCTGCCGCGGGTTCCCACGTGCATCGGAATGTGGCAGGCCATCAGTGACCCAAAACTTCCATTTTTTACATCAAGGGTGAAAAAGCCAAGAACCGATGCGGGGTGCTTAGTCCAAGAGTGTCGCGATCATCGAGTGTTGCGATCATCGTTCCTTGGGACAAAGCTGCGAAGCTGATGGCACTGTGATGTCACTGGTGGAGTTTGTCCTCCGGTTGCTTTCCCGGTGGAGCCATCCCGCCTTCCACCACCTCAGGTACCCGGAACGCCGGACCACCCGAAATCCCCTATGGAAAAACTCTACCGTTCCTCTGCCTGGTATCCTGTCTCGAGGAGGTTGGACGCAGTCTTCCGAAACAGGCTTGGAGTATCACGGGAGCACCCAATGGAGTCGTTCCATCTCTCGTCTTCAACCCCACCTCGTTGTTATTTTGAGTTTGCGGGGTCTAGGCGAAATGTTGGCATGCAATGATCCCTTAATTGGATTTTTGATTCTGAAGAGCCTCTACTTTATTTACAAACTACCTAAGTACATACAGTCAAGCGTCCAGGCGACGTCGCTGCTGAAGGAAGGATACGTGTCATGGCGACACACAGCCCAGCAAGCCCGGGGCTCCGTGTGATTCCAGACGCAGGCGTCACTTCCTTTGTAGACTCTAGACTTCAATGTGA